GGCTTCCTGGTACTGGAGATGCATCAAAGCTGGAGAGGCCATGCTTACTTGGTCATTGACATTTCATGCCCCTCCCCTGCTCAAGAAGCCACTGTGACTCTCTATTACCTTACCCATGCCCAGACCAAACCAAGGCCATGTATCTACCTGGCCCTGGGAGAACTCTGTTCTGACCTCTTCCTAATCATCCAAATGTATTTCCTGGTGTTAACTAGCCTCTACCCTAGCCACATCAATCTGGTCTCTGACTCATGAGAGCCTAGCAAATTCTTGTTGTACAGCATATTTTACGTTGGTCCATCACCTGAAAAATAAACCTGCCCCAAAGTATATCAAGATACTCAAAAATGCACCTCTTGAATCCATTATACCACACAAAGGCCTTAACCTTAGGCAACAGCAATAACAAGAAGTATTCGCTCACATTTATTAAACACTTACTACATGCCAGGCACTGTTATAAGTACTTAACACATATGAACTCTTAATCTCAGGGCCAGCGCACGGGTAGGAATGTCTTCATCCTCAATATACAGATGAGGAAACCGCTGCCCAGAATGGCTAAGTAACCTACCCAAAGTCATATGGCTAGAAAGTAGTGACACTGCGTTTTGAACACAAGCAACCTGGATTGAGAGCATGAGTGTTTACCTAGCTGACAAAAGAAATGCAGGAGGTGTTCATTGCTGAGTGGCTTTTAATACCGCAAAGTTGGAAGCAGCCTAATGCCCAATAAAAGGGAATATGGTTAAATCAAGTACCCAACACGATGGAATGCAAAGCATCCATTTAACATCAGGTTCCCAGGCAGGACGCAGTGCCTCATGCCTGTAATCTCAGCACTTTGGGAGGCCGAGGCAGGTGGATCACCTGAGGTCAGGAGTTCGAGACCAGCCTGGCCAACATGGAGAAACCCCGTCTCTACTAAAAATACAAAAATTAGCTGGGTGCGGTGGTGCATGCCTGTAATATCCCAGCTACTCGGGAGGCTGAGGCAGGAATCACCTTGAACCTGGGAGGTGGAGGTTGCAGTGAGCTGAGATCATGCCACTGCACTCCAGCCTGAGTGACAGAGCAAAACTCTGTCTCAAACAAACAAACAAAAAACCCCAAATAAAATAAGGTTCTCAAAGGATATTTATTAAATAACTGAAAACATGTTCATGTTGCATTGCTATTTTAAAAACAGGATTAGACTGGGCATAGTGGCTCATGCCTGTAATCCCAGCACTTTGGGAGGCTGAAGCAGGAGGATGACCTGAGCCCAGGAGTTGGAGGCCAGCCTGGGCAACATGGCAAGACCATGTCCCTACAAAAAAATTTAAAAATTAGCTGAGCACAGTGGAGCACATCTATAGTCTCAGCTACTTGGGAGGCTGAGGTGGGAGGACCGCTTGAGCCCAAGAGGTCGAGGCTGCAGTGAGCTATGATCGTGCCACTGAGCTCCGACCTGGGTGACAGAGCCAGTGTGTCTCAAAACATTGTTTTTTTAAAAAAGGGATTAAAAAAAAGTATATATACAAAAAGATTTCAGTGTAAATAGACACCACTCAGGCAACAGCCCTGTGCGGCTGGGTCAGCCCCTCAAGGCAAAGCAAGCGGAGGCCAGGCCTCCTCCCTGCACCCCACTTGGCAGGACGGCTCGGGGGGGCTGTGCAGGCATTCCGCCAAGCAGACGCTGGGCCTGCACTGCTGAGAGCACAGGGGAAGGCTTAAGGTGACCCTGATAACTGAGTTTTCCTCATGCTCTTCTTTTCCTTTCCTTGTCTTTCCTGAAAATTTCTAAGCCATAGACCAGCAGTTGTTGACCAGGGGCAATATTCCCTGCCAGGGCAAATTTGGCAAGGTCTGGAGGCATTTTTGGTTGTCATAATTTGGGCCGCGCTACTGGCGTCAAGCGGGTGGAGGTTGGGGATGCTGTTGAACATCCTACAGTGCCCAGGACAGCGCCCCTGCCAAGTGATTATCTGGGCCAAACTGTCAATAACGCTGAGGCTAACAATGTGGTATAGACCAGGGATCTTCAACCCCGGACCACAGACCGGTACTGGGCGCACAGCAGTAGGTGAGTGGCGGGTGAGTGAGCAAAGCTTCATCTGCATTGACAGCCACTCCCCATCACTTGCATTACCGCCTGAGCGCCACCTCCTGTCAGATGAGCCTGGCATTAGATTCTCATAGCAGCGTGAACCCGACTGTAAACTGCGCTTGCGAGGGATCTAGGTTGCGCACACCTTATGAGAATCTAATGCCTGATCATCTGTTACTGTCTCCCATCACCCCTGGATTGGACTATCTAGTTGCAGGAAAACAAGCTCAGGGCTCCCACTGTTTCTACATGATCGTGAGTTATATAATTATTATTATATATTACAATGTAATAATCATAAAAATAAAGTACATAATAAATGTAATAATGTGCTTGAATCATCCTGAAACCATCAGCCCACCTCCCCAACCCTTGGAAAGAACTGTCTTCCATGCAACTGGTCCCTAGTGCCAAAAAGGTTGGGGACCGCTGGTGCACAGTCTTCTTGCCTGCAGCAGACTCTACTTTCATCATCTCTGATCCCTCAAGCAACGTTACTCCTCAGCTCACTCCTCAGCTCACCGTGACCTGGGTGCATGTGATTCAAATCACCAGAGGCCCGCCATTCTCTGGACTCTCAGGCTGACCTCGGGCTCTGGGACCTTCATAGCACTGCAAGGGTAAGCCTCTGCTTACCCTTCCCACATCTCCTTCCCGTGGTCTCCAGGGCACCAGAGCCCCCTGGTTCTCCTCCTGCTGCTGTGGCAGCTCCTCCTCTGCCACCTTTAAAGGCTGTGGCTCTCAGCTTCTAAGTCTCCCCTTCTCACACTGGAGGCCATCCTGGGAGGTCAGAGCCAATTCCCAGGACTTCACCTGGGATCTCATTGCTGACAGCTCCCAAGATAACATCTACAGCCAGGATCTGGTTTCTTAGTTGAGACCACGTGGCCACGTACCTCCCAATCTCTTGCCTTTCCACAGAGGTGAGATCATGGTTCATCCAAGAAGGCCCACGGGTACATCAGACTCAACACTTCCACTTCCAAAATGGAACCCGTCCTCCCTGCCCAACCTCATCCCCACACAGACCTCCTCTCCTGCGTGCTAAAGCTCAGCTGGCCAAGCGCACGACGTGAACTAAACAATCTCAACGCTCAACCTCTTCTCCTTCCCCATCCACAGCAGCTCCAGAAAAACAGCAGCAGCCCCTGCCCCTTACCGAGCACTTCTGGTGCTAAGCTTACTTGCTTTAATTCATTCAGACTTTACCTTTGCGGTAGGCACTGTCCCTGCTTTTCAGGTGGGGATAGATGAGGGAGACTTTCAGCAGGTGACACTGCCGGGGAGTAGCAGAGCTGCCCCGGTGGCACGCAGCCTGCCTGGTGGCTGGCCCTGCCACCTGCATTCTTAATGCCTCTCTACACCACTACATCCCATCAAACCTCAGTGACATCTGCCTTCTAAACCACTCCCCGACGCATCCCTGCATCTCCCTTCCCACTGCCACAGCCTTACTTAATACCTTTGTTGTTGTTTTTTGCAAAGGCGTCATCAAACCCTTTTAAAATAAATTCTGCCTCCTGTTATGCTTCCAGCTGTGAGAATGCAGTTATCACACCCCGGTCACATGTCCAGCCCATCCCAAAAGGATGATTTGTGTGAGACTGGAAGAAGCATTCTTTGCCTAAGACAATCTGCTTCCACCCGCCAGAAGTTGTCTTACTAATGTGTAAACTGGTGATTTGTCCAATATGAATGGTAGCCCTCAGAGAAGGTGCCCTTGTGCAGTGCACAATCCCTCCAACTGGACAACCCACCTCTTATGTTCTCGGATTGTTCTAAGGACAATAAACAAACAGACAAACATCAACACCCCTTTGAAGTAACCTACTGAAATCATGTCAGTTAAGGAAAAAGAAAATTGGTTCTAGTATCCAAAATAAGTGTCCCAAGTTATTTGAGCTCATTTCCTTCTAACAACACATTTGTTTCATTAATTATCGCTTAATCTGATATTATCCTACTTCAGGTCAGCCTCTTTTCTACCACATACCCACTGAAAAAGACACTGACAGTGCACCAAAGAAAGAATACACCTGGTGAATAAACAAAACGCTATGCCTCTCATAGCAAGGAAATGCAAAGTAGAAAGAAGTACCAATTCCACAGTGATTTTTTTGGGGGTGAAACTATGACTGACATGACAGAAACGTCAATTTGTAGATTTCTGGAAGGTAATTTAGCAATATGTATTTAAAGTCTTCAGAATGACTCTCCAAAATTCCACTGCTAGAAATAAACCCTATATAGACTAAAAAGATATACATATAGATTCATGTACAAGATTTATTAATCCTAGATGATTAACTGCAGAACTACTTATAATAAAAATACAAGTAGCCAATATTAATTGGCTTATGCTGTACTTGTCGCTATTAGAATTACGTGACATGTATTAGTTCATTTAACCACCATGACAACTCTATGGGGTAAGAAATTGTGTTACTATCATTTTATACATGAGGAAATTAAGGCACAGAAAGGTTAGGTAATATGCCTCGGATCACAGAGCAAGCAGATAGCAAAGCCAGAATCTGAACCCAAGATACCCAGGGCCAGAGAATGCATGCTTTATCACTTTGCTGTTTGGCCTCCCTTCTTGATAACAGCAAAAAGTTTTTAGAATTTCCTTCCTCATGTAAAAAAGTAATTTTTAGAAAAGGGTTGAGGGTGGGGGATAATCTTATTTTCTGTCAAAATGACCTAGAAGAGTTAAAATATAGAATGGCACATTCATGCCATGGTGAACGGTGTGGCCATCACAATCCCTGAAGATACGCTGAGTGAAAAGAGCAGGGTATAAAACTGCCCGGTGGGATCCACCCTCCAAAACCAATGTTGTGTGGAAGAAAGAGATGGTCACTTTTGAATGGTTCTGGGGGACAGAGAAAGAGCTCAAACATCCACCGACCTGTGGTCTTCTCAGTAAACACGACTTTGGACTCAGCCGTAAAGTTCTGGCCCGTGAGGATCATTTGCTGGCCGCCGTAGACCAGGCAGCTGTCCGTGTCTTGTCTTTCAACCATGGGCAGCTCGTGAGCAGATCGCTGGGCTGCAGGCAAAAGAGACAGAAGTCACTGTGACGAGGGGAGATGTCTGCTCAAAAGAGGAGGTCTGATTTCATGGTACTGAGACATGACATGCTCTGCCCACCTGTGTCACCTGTTGTTATCTAAAATGTGGAACCATCACCCCTGACAATCAATGACTGTACAAATGTTATGTCTTGTGAAAGTGCTCTAAGTCATTTGAGCGAATTTCCCTCTAACAACACATTTCGTTTTCATGAATCAAGGGACAGAGGCCTGTTCTCCTTACAGGAAGCCAGAGGCTGCCTGTTGTCCTTATAAGGAGGACAGGTACATGAGAATTGGTTTTCTTTATTCTCTTATAAAAGGGTGGGCAAATCAACTTCTTTATGAGGTTTCCTTTGTTAAAGTATATCCTTTCTTTGTACATTTGATGTCAGTCAAAACGTGAAGGCATCATGTATGCTAAGCTTGGGATATAGTACCTGAAGGTTTAGACATATTGCCTTTGGAATTCATTTATGATCTTTAACATAGTCTTTAAGATATCCGTGACCTACCCCCTTAATGTCCTTTTCTAGAACTCTCCCTCATTCACTCTGCTCCAGCCACACTTCTAGAACAATGTGTCTCTCACACATACTCAGCACACTCTTACCTTTGAGCATCTGCACTTTCTAGTGTCTGTCCTCCCCAGTAACCTACATGGCTCCCTTCTCCACTTCTTGCAGGTCTCTACTCAACTGTCACCTCCTCTGAGAGGCTTCTTTAACCCACCCCACCCCCTCCCCAGAGTTAAAACAGCAGTACCCAGCCTGGTCCCTCTCTCTCATTCTCTGTCACCTTTGCTTTCTCTGTCCTACTTTGCTTTTCTCCGTAGAGCTTTTCACTTTCAGATACATTATATATAGCTTGTATCGGTTTATCTTCTTTCATCTTTCCCCTACTAGCATGTAAGCCCAGGAAGGAGGGCTTACTGTTTTGTGTACTGCTGTAAGCCTAGGCCAGGAATAGTGCCGAGAACCTAGGAGGACATAGTAATTGGTGGGTGGATGGATGGATGAGTGGATGGGTGGGTGGGTGTGTGGGTGGGTGGATGGGTGGATGGGTGGGTGGGTGTGTGGGTGGGTGGATGGATGGATGGATGGATGGGTGGGTGGATGGATGGATGGGTGGGTGGATAGGTGGATGGGTGGATGGGTAGATGGATAGATGGGTGGGTGAATGGGTAGGTGGGTGAATGAATGGATACGGATATGTCTGTATCTCCCAATATGTATTCTCAATACATCTATTTATATCTATGTCCTCATCCATATTTGTAATAAATGAAAAATGGAGGCACAGGAAAGGCCTCTGCTGAGCACTAAACCAGAATGCTATACCTGAATGCTCATAGCAACCCTCTGAGGAAGGAAGTATTAAAATGATTTGCATTTGACTGGGGAGAAAACCAAAGCTAAGAGAAGTAACGTCACCACTTGGCCAAGGATCCATGGTGAAGCTTAGATTTGAACCCTCAAAAGCAGGTTTCTCCAGCTCCAGAGCCCAATCTCTTAGGTTAACTAGTCAGTCACCTATTCCAGAAGCCAGGCTGCAGAAAAGAATGAAAACCTGCTCCAGCCATCTTCCCGGGGCAGGCAAGAAACAGGTCCCAGCCACAGCCAGGGCCCCGCCTCCTTAGGCCTCTCTCCTTCCAGCGTGGGCCAAGAGGCCGGGCCCGCCCCCCCGGGGTGAGTCAGTCTGAGCTCTTGGCATTCCTCCCCAAGCCCAGAGAACTGGGCAGAGGGCCAGCCCCTTCCATGCCAGGAGCCTGCAGACCTCCCCATCCGGGAGCCTGGGCAGTAACTGCGTGAGGCCCACAGACCAATTCTAACCCTTCCCTCCTGCCTTGCCTGGGCCTCCAGGCCACTGGCATCCCCCTGCATCTGCTGGGGCCACTCAATGGAGCAACGATGCACTTGGCAACATTTCAGGAGTCACTGTGCACCAGCCAGAGGCTTCCAGACACTCCACCTTGAAAGTGCCACCCAGCAGCGACTCAGACCAATCCCCTGATGGCTTTTCCCAACCCCAGCTCAGCCCAGGCGCCCTCTGTTCCCAGAGATCTGCCCGCCAGCGCTGCTCCAGGGGCTGCCGGCTACAAGGATAGATTACAAAGATCTCTCCGCAGAAGCGGCTAATCTCTCCCACATGGGCTGGGTTATTAATCCTTTCTTTCAATATCAAAGTTTTGTGATGACTTCCTAATTGAGCTGCCACAAATGAGATTTATTAGCAGCAAGAATAGCAGCTGCAGGTTCAGGCTTTGAAGATCTGCCTTTGATGAAATTGGGGAGCAGCTGGGGGCTTTTGGCCCCGGGGATGGGTGGGGCAGTGGCTAGAGCATCCCACCCGTTTTACAGGTGGAAAGCCTGAGTCATCGCTACTGGGCAAGCCAGCCCAAGGTTTGTGGCCAGGCGAGCTGGGGACTGGAAGGGGCTGCAAGCTCTCAGTGCTGGGCGGGAGGCTGGCGCGGACAGTTGAGCTGTGAATCACTGCACACTGCTGTGAACACAGCTCCTCTTTCCTGCGGCAGCCTCATTGCTTCTCCCTTCAAAGCCTCATAGTCTCAGCAACCAACAGATTCAACCTTTGCCAAGTCTGCATTTCCTACCTCCTACCTGAAGGAAAACTTTTTTTTTTTAATGAAAATCTAAAGAGACAGAAAAAAGAGAAAACAGTGAGAGTCTAGTCCAGCTGCCTATACGCCTTTAACTGTATTCTAGTCTCACAACTCTAAGTGCGGGTCAGAGGTGCTGGCATCACTGGAGAGCTTGTTAGACATTCAGTACACCTCAGGCCCCACCCCAGACCTACCGAGCCCAGATCTGCAGTTTTACAAGGAGCCCATGTGATTCCTGTGCACTATCACGTTTGAGAAGCTCTGTTTAGCCCTGGCCAGTTCGAATGGGAAGTTAAAAATACTGACACCCACAGCCCCCCCCCCTTTTTTTTTTTTTTTTTTTGTGAAACACGCTCTCACTCTGCCACCCAGGCAGGAGTACAGTGGTGGCATCATGGCTCACTGCAGCCTCCACCTCCTGGGCTCAAGTGATCCTCCCACCTCAGCCTCCCGCGTACCTGGCATTGCAGGTGTGTGCCACCACATCCTACTTATTTTTGTAGAGACAGGGTTTTGCCATGTTGCTGAGGCTTGTCTTGAACCCCTGGGCTCAAGCGATCTGCCTGCCTCGGCCTCCCAAAGTGCTGGGATTATAGACCTGAGCCACCATGTCCGGCCCACGGTCCAGTTCTAAAGCAAGGTTTCTCAACATGACACCATTGCCATTTGGAGCTGGATAATTCTTTGTTGCTAGCAGGCAAGGGGTGTCCTGGGCATTGTACAATGTTTAGCAGCATCCCTGGGTTCTACCTTTCAGATGCAAGGAGCACCCCACCCCCCGGTTGTGACAACCAAGATTGTCTCCAGACAAGGCTGGATATCCCCTGGGGAAGAGGGGTGCAAAATCATTCCTGGTTGAGAACGGCTGTTCTAGAGATTCTGACTTAAATGATCTGAGGATGAGGACACGAGCATCGTTTTTATCCTAAAAAAAAAAAAAAAAAAAAAATCTTCAAGCCAGGTACAGTGGTTCATGCTGTAATCCCAGCACTTTGGGAGGCTGAGTCAGGCAGATCACGAGGTCAGGAAATCAAGACCATCCTGGCCAACATGGTGAAACCCCGTCTATACCAAAACTCCAAAAAAAAAAAAAAAAAATTAGCTGGGTGTGGTGGCACGCATCTGTAGTCCCAGCTACTCAGGAGGCTGAGGCAGAAGAATTGAACCGGGGAGGCGGAGGTTGCAGTGAGCCGAGATCACGCCACTGCACTCCAGCCTGGCAACAGAGCGAGACTCTGTCTCAAAAACAAAAACAATCTTCAAATGATTCCAAGAGGCCACAGCCAGGTTTGATCTGTGGTACCATCACTACAGGGCAATGCAGGGCCCTGGGAGCTGCAGGAGAATACATCATTAACTGCTGCTCGGGCTCTGGGGTCAGAAAGCCATGGTTTTGAGTCCTGCATCTGCCATCCCTGTTCTGTGACCCTGGGCAAGTCACTTCACCTCTCTGAGTTACAGATGCCTCCTCTGTAAAGTCATAACAGTACCTGCCCTCATCAAGACCCTGCATATGAATATATGGACGCGGTCAGTACATAGATGGTAAAATATCAAATATCAACCCAAATGGTCATCCATGGATACATGGATAAACAAAGCATGGTATATCCATGCAGAATATTACTCAGCCACGAAAAGGAATGCAGTGCTATTCCATGCCATGACATGGGTGGACCTTGAAACCATTAGGCGAAGTAAAAGGAGCCAGACACAAAAGGACAAATAGCATGCGATCCCATTTATGTCAATTGGCCAGAACGGGCAAACGCAGAGAGATGGAGAGCAGATCGGGGCTTGCTGTGGGTGGAAATTGGGCAGTGGCTGCTAATATAGGAGGCGTTTCTTTCTCTGGTGATTAAAAAAAGTTCTGCAGGCCAGATGGGGTTTTCTCAGCCTGATGTCACTCTGTCCAGGTTCAAGTTCTGTCTTCATAGTTTACTAGCTGCATGGCCTTCGAGTGGCAGCTCTCTGTGCCTCAGTTTCCTCATAAGCAAAAATGATAAAGTTTGGTCAGGCGCAGTGTCTCACGCCTGTAAGCCTAGCACTTTGGGAGGCTGAGGCAGGCGGCTCACCTAAGGTCAGAAGTTCGAGGCCAGCCTGACCAATATGGTTAAACCCCATCTCTACTAAAAAATACAAAAATTGACCTGGCCTGGTAGCATGTACCTGTAATCCCGGCTACTCAGGTGGCAGAGGTGGGAGAATCGCTTGAACCCAGGAGGCAGAAGTTGCAGCGAGCCGAGATCGTGCTACTACACTCTAGGCTGGACAACAAAGCAAGACTTCGTCCAAAAAAAAAAAAGTACTGCAACTACAGAGTAGTGGCAGTTGCACAATATTGTGAATGTACTTCAT